AATTCTGACTTTTTTCTCAGAATTCTGACTTTTTTCTCAGAATTCTGACTTTTTTCTCAGAATTCTGACTTTAATCTTGGAATTCTGACTTTAATCTCAGAATTCTGACTGAATTCTGACAATAAAAAAGTTTTTTTTTTTTTTCTCCGAATTCTGACTTTTTTCCCCATGTTAAACTGAAATAAAATGTAAAAATCAGTTAACTTTTTTTTTCCAGTGGCCCTAATCCTCTTCCGTTGAAATCTCTCCTTGCGAGTAACTAAATTAATTGTCTCGGTGCCTTCTTTCTTTCCCTGTATGTATGTATGATGTTTTAGGTGCTTAGACCTGACAGAACTACTAGACACATCTGCAATCAACAACAATTATTGAAGATTTCCAGAGGACTTCACCATCGAAACTCGCGACAGGTATATACATAGTTAAACTGACAATGCCGACCTGCATGGCAGTTGGAATGGATCAGGTAATAGTTTGGGTTTACCTTCTGCCTGATGGCGTCTTTACGCTGTCGCTCCGTCTCATCTGAGGAGGAACATGGAAACATCTCAGTGGTCATCTCTAATGTCACTGTGTGAAGAAGTTAGCGTGCTGTTAGACGTAAGGCGCATGTTGCTCTTACAGTGAATTGCAGGGACAAAGTACTCCAGGGCGTGGCAGTAGAGAGTCAGCGCTGCGGCCCGCTCCCCCTCCTGGTCCTTCTGCACGGCCTGCGTCACCAGCTCCCTCTTTAAGGAACAAAAAGGCGTCCGTTTTTTTTATCTGCAGAATGCTCTGCCTGTGTTTAACCTCCTCTAAAGCCTCTTACTGCTTTTATTATGCACTCAGCACTTGGCATGTGCTCCATGTCCAGAAAAGGGTGAGTGAAGAACTCCTCAAAGGTGATCCGGGCATCTGGATTTCGCTCGAGCAGCCTCAACAGAAGGTCTCTGCAGTCTTTGGAGACCCGGGCGCCTGGAGGGAGCTAATGCACAAAACACGACCTTATTACTCATGATATAATTCACAAAGCAGAGAAAGGACACAACCTTCCATCCCTCATCTCTACACCCTGACAAAACATGTCTTTCAGATAGCTCCAAAATTTATTCATAATACACAAAACTAAATACTTCTAACACCACACATCTTAAGTTAGAAACTACCTGATCAACATTCAGACACGTTAACTTATAGTACATTTAACCTTTTCCTGACAATAAATAAATATAAACACGGTAAAAGGTCTAATGTGGGTTCAGGTTCAGCTCCGTCTTAAAACTGAGAGTAAATGCTTCAGAGAAAACCAGCAATAATCTATTTTTGCCTATTGTGTGTAAAATATTACCTACTCTATCCTGAGTTAAAGAAAAGTTAATATGTTAAATACATAAAGTTAAAAAGCTGATTTAAAAAGCTAAAACCCTAATAAATGTTTTTTAAAGCTGATTAAAAAAGCTAAAGATGAGATTGAAAAAAATAAAAATCTGATATCAAATGTTAAAAAGTAGATTAAAAACGTTTTTTTTTAACCATATCAGGCCAAGGGACTGTTTACAATAATTTCTTTGATCTTTGCATTGAAAATACATTTTAACTTTAGCAAAGAAATAAGGTATTTTCTGTCCTCCAATAACACTCTTAGCTTTCAGTTTTAAAGTAATAAACTTAGGGCCTTATAAAGAGTTAAACATTATATATCTCTTCACTAACTATTCCTTCTGTTTTGGTAGATTTTCTCCCAGTTATTCTTCTTTAATATAATGGAAAAGAGGCAGCTTTCTCCTTACAACTAGAAAAGTACGCCACCCAGTGGCATAAAAGCAGACAGAAGAAACAAGAGGGTAGATTTCTGTATAAATGTGAAAAGGATAAATCTATTTCTGGAGGATATTCAGTGTCATTTCTCTCATTCCTGCAAGCTGTTTTGTAAACACTCTGTGTGTACAAAATGACAAGAAAGTTTGTCTAAGTCTGTGATGATGTAGAATTAGGGAATTATTTTTCCAAACAGTTCAAATCCAGCTGTAACTGGTTTTTACCTCTACTGGTTGATTGCTTCGGATTTTTTCTTCCAGTTCAGCGTATGACTTTGAAGCAAATGGGGCTCGTCCAAACAGCGCCTCTGTGCACATAGAAACAATGAAACCGTGTTCAGTAACGGGACGGTTTAAAAGGCCGTACAAGAGCAGAACGTTGGAAGAAAAACTAAGAAGAGGGGAAGTCTGGGAAAAAAAATACAAAAAAGCTTAAGAAAAGCTAAGCTAATGATTCATCCACTCCTCAATGAACTCAATGCTTTCAATAAACTCAAGAAAAAACATAATAGAGGTTATAAATCATAACAAAAATACTATTATGAAAAGATGTTCTTATTAAACAAAACATCTATATCCTTCAAATGTATGATACCTCATGAATGTGACACATAAAGGATTGACTGATGGATCCCCTGAAAATGTATGAAATTCATTTTTCTGAAGCATCTGTGTTTCCCTGTAAATATGATTCTATATAAGGAATTCTGATTAATTACGTCTATCTTTGACTGAATCTCTAGTAGCAGTCTTTCACCACACCCTCGTATTTTGAGGCACTAAAAGTTTCATTTTGAGGGACTAGTTTAGACGAATTAGTCCATCCTGCTCAAGAAAATGTATTAAATCATTTCAATAAGAAACAAAACTACCAGAAAAAGAAAAAATGTAAGAGGAGCATCTAATTTTCATGAAAAAAGAAAAACAAAGTGTCTGAAAGGTCAGCCTAAGTTGCTCCTCCTAACTTTTGCTATCTTTCCTCTTATGGACAACTACTTTATAATCCATTATTTCTAAACTTGTCCTTAAAGTCTAAACTGGTTCCTCTTTCCTTTTTTAATGGGATCCTTCCTCCATTCTGACCAGTTTCCACATATTAAACTGATTTATTCTCTCATCTCTGACTGGATTCAACCCAGGACAGTAGAAGGTATTAAATGGTCACTTATTTAAATGTTGCATTGAAGCAATGAAACTAAACAAATTATGTAGGAACTATGGGAAAAATTGCCATGGTGAATTAGATCTAGATCTCAGTAGGGTTTTCCTCTGGTTGATTAAAGGACATTTTACTTGTTTCAGTCACAGTCTCTCTTATTCAGCTTCTCTAAAGGTGTCAAGAGCTCCAACCAACTAAAATAGTCTAGTTGTGTTGCTGCAACATTGAGACTCTATTATTGAACTAATAATCCCATAAAGGACCCGTCACCATCCTGCCCATTACATGATTAATGGTACAATTCTCCTCTGACCTACTGAGCCTGATCTTTCCAGCCCTCACTGCTGCTCATGTGATTAATCTTTTCATTTACGAAAAAGGCAGCACAGTCAAGCTGTTATTACCGACCATTAAAACTGACCTCCCACTAGCTAGCTCAAGATGCTATTAATAAAGCAGACAGAGGAAAATTCAGGTTTGATAGGAGCAGAAAAAGGTTTGGTTTGGTTTATTTCAAACATGTAAAGAACCGAAATAAACAAAAACATTGCTGCTGTTTTGGATATATTTTGGAATGGAGAGGGGGAAAGTACAATTTATTTAATCTCAGAATCCCCAGAACCTTACAGACCATAGAATCAAAAGTAGGATTTCACATCAGCTTGTTTTTTTTTTAATGTAAATAACAAACAACATAAGGCTCCATTGATATATCAGCATTATTAGAACACATATAGAGAATACAGCAGCGTAGCTGTAACATGTAGCCTAGGCTGAAGTTTAACTGAAGAAACTAAATTTGTTCCAAAAGTTTGTTTATTTAGAAATGTTTACTTGCTAAAATCCTCTTTTAAGATGAATGGATTCATGCAAAGAACACGTTGTACAAATAGAAATAATAAAAAAAAAACAATCCAGAAAAGAAATTTTGAAAAAGGTCCTTCCAAATTTTTTTTGTTTTGTTCTTTTCATAGGTTATTTTCATATTTTTATTTCTCTGTTTTTTGTTTTTCAGATTACTGTTGTACCGATTGTAGTCTTTTAAACTTTCCTCTTAAGTGAGAAGCAAAGAAGCATTTCAGAAGTACTACTTTTTTTAAATAAAAAAATTTTAAATGCAAAAAAAAAATGTTCTTTGCAAAAATAATGGAACATAATTCACTCCATATACAAAAGCTTTAAAGGCTAATCCACCCCTTAAACGAAGCCCTTCCTCCTTTGTAGAGAGTACATTTCAAATATCATTAAATAATAATTAAGCATTTGCTTTAAAAATCCTGCTTATACAAGAAGTAAAAAACTTACAGGTGGAAATAAAATGTAAAAAAAAAAAAAATAGTAAAACTTTATCTGTACAGCAAAATAGAAAATCTAATTCAAAACAAAATGTATGTTGGTGTATGAGAACCTGAAGAGGTCAATAATGGAGGATTCTGGGTTTAAAGGACATTTCTAAAATCACTCACCATAAAGAATCACTCCTACCGACCAAAGATCCACTCTGGAGTCGTACTGGCGTCGGCACACCATCTCCGGAGCCATGTAGAGCGGGGAACCTCTCAGGACACTCTTCTCATCCCACGGCGACATGTACTGGGCAAACCCGAAATCTGGGTGGTAAATAGGATGTATATTCTCCGTAAACAACCAAAGATTAAAAAAGGGCCGTGTGAAAGCAGCCCAGAGTTCTGCTGTATGAAGCTACATGTTTGTACAGCACTTCAATGTTCAACTTCCTGTTCTGACACGTTACAACAAACCATGTAGCAATATGCTTCAAACAGTAGTGCAAAGCCTCCCCAGAGCATCATGCTGCCACCACCATGTTCCATGGGGTTGATGGTGAGTTGGAGTTAGTTTTACACCACATTTAAGCTAAAATCTAAAAGGTTCGCTTAGATTCAGGCTTCTGCAGAGATTCTTCTTCTGCATATTTGCAAAAAATAAAAGTTTAAACCCTGAAATTGCAAAATGTTAATCTATTTCATAGTTATTGACTAAAATTAAATAAATAAAACGTTGGTGTGTGAAACACATCTAACAAATTAAATGTTAAGATTTAAGAGTGTTTGTTTTTCTGTTAAAATGAGCTCACCTGCTAGCCTCGTGAGACCATCCTGATCT